ATCTGCCTCTGATCCCGCGTTCATTAAAATTTCATGTACGAATATAAATTCTATTCGTGCCCACTTTCACGATGTTGAAACCGAGCTCTCCGACAGTTCAACTCATGTACTAGCTCTCACGGAAACATGGCTTACACCAAATATTGACTCGTCGTGTGTTGCTATTTCAAATTATAACTTTGTGCGAAATAATCGAGCGGTCCGAGCAGATGGGCAGTCGCGTTTTTTACAAGGAGGGGGTGTAGCATGCTACCTTCATAAATCACTGCGTTACTCAATTCTTGAGTGTTCTAATAATACTGATGTAAATTCTCCGGAATATCTTTTTCTTAATGTTAAAGCTTCTTCGCAAAACTTGTTGCTCATTATAATGTATCGACGACCAGAGGGTCTACTTTTTTCTGATTTTTTATTGAAATTAAATTTATACGTTTCAACATATCGTAACATTGTCATTACTGGAGATCTCAACTGTAACCTCCTAGCAAATAATTTTGAGTCGAATTACCTAAAAGATTTCATTACTGATTATTCGTTTTTCTCAGTACCATTCGGTCCCACCCACTACTCGAATCACTCGCACTCCCAGCTGGATGTCATGATAGTGGATTCTAGTAATAAAATTGAAAGCTTTTCCAAATCCTCTGTACCTTTTGCTGCTGGCCATTGTCGTATCACTGCCTGCTATCGATTCGATAACCTTAACCTGACACCGCAAACTATCACATTCCGTAACTTTGCAAATTGTGACCATACTTCTCTAACCAACGACCTCGCATCTCAACTAAATCTCAGGCTTCCTAATGGTCAAATGTCTTGCGATAACCCTTCCCTGCCTGACCTTCTTCCGAGCGATCTTATTAGTGAACTTACTGTATTTTATCAGTGTATTAAGGATGTTCTCGATGTTCACGCACCATTAGTTACTAAGCGTATTAAGAGACGTTCTATTCCTTGGATTTCATCGGAACTGCGAGAAAGAATCAAAGACCGTGATAAAGTGTTCATCCGTGCGAAGCGGACACGAAATCCATCGTTCTTAGATCAGTATAGGAACCTGCGTCGTTCAATTAAACTAGATATTAAGTCAGCGAAAAATCGATATCTAAATGATCTATTACTCCAGCAATCGAGTCCTACCAAACTATGGTCATGCTTGCGTAAATGTGGTCTTGCAGGCGGAGCATCACAATCTGCCCTTAGTCACTTCTCACCTTCTACTCTAAATCAGCACTACGTGGCCATCTCATCATCTCATCCTCCTTGTGACCAGGCAGCGCTACACTCTATTCTATCAAGATCTATCCCTAGCCACCACCAATCGTTTATCTTCTCTCCTATCAGTCATCTGGATGTCCTTAATTGTCTTAATGCCATATTGAACAAATCGCGTGGTCTTAGTCCCGATCATCTTCCTCTTTCGCACATTAAGCATCAATTCTCAGTTATTGCTCCTTATTTATCAACTTTTTTTAATTATTCTTTATCTCTTGGTGTTTTTCCATCTATTTGGAAGTCACTATACATTATTCCACTTAATAAAGTTACTAGTCCCTCAAATCCATCTGATACACGTCCAATAGCAAATCCACCACATTTGTCAAAAGTTATTGATTCCTTACTTGCACGTCAAATTGTTGCATTTCTTGAAAATAATGAGTTATTACACCCCAAACAATGTGGGTTCCGCAGATATCATAGCACCCAGACAGCACTTCTATACCTTCTTGATGACATCCGCCTCGGTATCGACAAGGGTTATGTCACCATACTTGTGTTATTTGATTTTTCGAAAGCCTTCGATACACTGAATCATTCAACTATATTATCATGTCTGCGTGACATAGGATTTCAGGACTCTGCGTTGAGTTGGATGCACTCATTCCTATCAGAGCGCACTCAGTCTATAATTGGACTAGATGGCCAACCGTCTGAACCTGAACTCACTACATCTGGCGTCCCACAAGGCACTAGCTTAGGTCCCATCCTTTTCATAATAGTTATTAATACCCTTTTCTCCAGGCTCCAGTTCTGTCGTGACACCACCATCATCTTCGCTGATGATACCCAATTATACTTATGAACACCTATTAGTCGCATTAATGAGACCATACAACTGATTAATAATGATATAACTGAGCTAGTTGAGTGGTCCCACGAATACGGGCTCACATTAAATACGCGTAAAA